TAACGTACATAAAGCTCGGGTAGTTTTCCAATAAATAATCTTTAAATAGCTCGTAAATAAAAGTCGATTTCTATGGAAGCTCCTTTCTAGTTTTGCGCTCTTGGCCATAAAAGACACGTACTTTAGCTGCAACAAGCGCACGAGAGGAGACTCGCGCCAAAGCTTTATATAGGCAACAAAGTGTAATTTAAGATCCTCGTGCCAATAGAGCTGAAAAGAGAGGTGCACGAGCGAAATCGCCGCACAGCACAGCATCAACACGCATATGGCACCTATGTACGTGTAAATATAGGTGGGCATTATATCACGGCGTGCTTGAGAGCTACGCTCGAAAGTCATTCTGCGCTCGGCGAGCTGAAAAATTCACCGCGCGTCCAAAAAGTCGATCGTTAATGATTTTCATAATGGCGATAAATAATATTGCGTGTGCGTGTTTAAACACGCGAGGGACGAATTGCGACGTCGCGCGTATCCTTATCTGCTGCGATTATATAGCGGCCAGACGAGCGCATGAGTCAGTTTCACCGAAACCATCTTCCATTATGCTCGATGGATAGACGTCTCGTTTTGACAACTTCCGGCTTGCCGTTTGATTGTATATTTATACAATAATAATGGAGATGTCTTACGACGTAGTAACGAAGAAGGAAAAAATGAAATGAAAAAATGAAAAAGAGGTCCCAAATGCGCGTCCGCATTGCATATGCAAGGGGTGGCCGACAGGAGTGAGATGCGCGCGCAACCGGTGCATGCATATAAGCCGTCGATCGATCTGGCCAAAGAACGATTCGCTGCCGTTCGTTATAAAGCCAGCGAATCGATCGGCTTTTCTTCTTTCTCGCGATAGGCCAGAACGATAAGCGCCTGCACGTATACATACAGAGCTCGAGAGCATAAGACGAGTAGCTCATGGCCAGCAACATGTGATACGCGTGTCTGTTTGTGCCGAGGCAGATCATCCAATAAGCATTTACATTATTATATTGGCAAAGCCGTCGAGTCACGAAGTTAAATATAAAAAAGGAAAAAGGTCGAGACGTATACAGCGAGAGAATATCGAGTGAGCCGAGAGAGATGGATATCGGGTCGTCGCAGCGCTACACGGTAGCATTGATCCACGCGAAGCCAAGCGTACATATCCACGATGACTGTTGGTGTATAGGCTTTAGGTCAAAGGGTGTGGCAGCTCGCGGCTCGCTCGAGCGCGATGATGCACGTATTTATGCCGAGCGCGGCTCACGGCTGGCGGCGCGCACATACTACATAGTGTACATAAAGACTGCTACTGTGCACGTATACGTAGCGTCAAAATGGCCGAATGGCAGCTCCGCGACGAGCTCGATCCGTTTCTGCGCGACTTTATTGAGTACGTCGGAGCCGCGACCAATCGGCTTGCGAGCTTGCGCGACCGCGACTCGCTGCGTAAATCCGGTATACGACTCTACCTCTACGTAACAATGCCTATGTAGCGAGTACTAACTCGATGTTTTCACTCGGTTCGAGACTCGCGAGCTGCTGCTGCGCATTTTTTCACGCATCGATGCGCTTCGCCGAGTTTCCAGTGGCTCCGCAGCACGCACACGATTATAATACGAGTTTCGTATTATTCCTCCATTGCGCTATGTGCATCGACTCGCAATCACGGCTTTTTTATTCATTTTCATTTGTTTTTGTACCTTAATAGTCTTTTAATTGCGATATTTAAATATTTTTTGTCTCAAATAATAACGAAATTCAGAAACGCATTTAACCAATTACTTATCTGTCTAGCTTGTGATGGCTTTAAATGACGAATATCACGAAAGCTCTAATACACGATCGGTTCCCGAATGGCTGTTACGTGATCTTTCCACAGACTTTGTCGTTCGATGGGACGCGTTGGCACGATTATTGCCCCATGATAGAGATTTCAGCCTCGCACAGCGCGTGGCATTCGAGAGATCTGCACTTTATCCTGCGCGAGATTTGTCGGCATCCTCCGCATATCCTGCGCTAGCTCGAAAACATCGTCGCTTACATATTCGAAGCTCATTGTTAGCCCTATTAGGACGCTCTTCCTCGCACAATCTTGCTCACAAGCGAAAGAGGGAGAGACGAAGAGAGAGAGAGAGAGAGAGGTACAGAGTCGAGGACGACCAACGAAAAACAAAAACGAAAAAGGGAAGGAGTAAGATAGCGAGTACTACATACACGTGCAATAATACTGCGTGGGTGTCCCACTTGAGCTTTGAGGTTTTATATAAGAAGATAGTGGCACTGGTGCAGTCGCGGTCGACCTGCGAATACATATATTGCCAGAGTGCAGAGTGCAGAGCTGAGAGAGAGAAGCGCGTGTTATTATTAAAGTGGCTGCGCACTATACACATATTCGTGGACTGCACTGCCGCAGTGAGTGAGAAAGAGAGAGAGAGAGACAGAGAGAGGGCATGCATGGGTCGCTCTATGATTACCAAGCCAACGGAGCACTCGTATACTTTCTTTCTCTCTTTTTTCCTCTCTTCCTCTGTCGATGTCGATGTGTGTGCATATACATAGGTACACCTTTAATGGCCGGATGCGAGTGTTGGCAGTTCAGAATTCAGATGCGCGCTTGCTTATCCACACACACACACACACACACACACACATATTGCCCATGTAGAGGGACCAGCTCGACAACGACCTATGTTATTATCGCCCGAGCCTTTTTTCCACCCTTCCCTCCCTTTCGCCAGCGAGAACCTTCTCTCTCTCTCTCTCGCAACTCTCTCGCAACTCTCTTTGCTTTCTTTGCTGTTTCGCAGTTTTATACCCATTGTTATTATGTACATGCGCGATATAGCCGCAACGTATACACAAGCACTCACACTCGCAGGTTTCTATTAATCTGGAGCGAATTATCTTGTGGGACACTTTGCTCTTTTGGATTATTATATCGAATGCGTTTCGCGCTCGTGCGCGCGGGAACTGCTCGAGGCGGTAATTAAAGTACAGCCGGCCCGAGCTCGCCGTTCTTTTCAGCGTTGAGAGCTCGCACAAAAGTCGACCTTATGCTCTACAGGATACGTCTATATATATATTATATATAAAATATTAATATTAGCTCGCGATTTTGCCTCGCTGCGTGTGAGGTCGACACGCGCGTGCGCGGCCAATTTTTTCCACCCCTTTTTCCACTTAAACACTTGGTGCTGATCTGCTGTCGGTGAGTGAACTTGGATAAAAACAATTTAGCTTCTCATCGTATGCACTTCGCGAAAGGAGCGAAGACACATTCAGTGCAACAGGCCATAAAATTAAAAATTCGTGCAAATTTTTTATGAGGATCATTGGGTAAATGTTGCATCAGGACAATGAGTGTCCTGCATTGAAATATATTAGTGCTCGTGTATAACAATTGTTCGTTTGCTTTATTAGCCAACCGAATTCTATCAAAATCAATCACAGCCATGAAATAATTTCAAGTCAAGTATATTGAGAAGTATATTGTCAAGAATTTATTCCAAAAATGTCATTCTGTAAACATTAGGAATTCGAGTATATGAAGGGTTTTGGACTTTTTGGTAGAGTTCTCGCGCTTTTTTGAGTATTTTAACTTAATATTCATAATTCATAACTCGCGCACACGTGAAAAGAATTAGGTTACAATTTCTTTCTTTATAAAGAAGATACTGATTTTACACAGTTTTATGGCAGAAGTAAAAGCAGTCAAGATTAATAGTAATTTAGATTTGGTGTTTTTATGAAGACAGTACTCGGTGTAAGAATCGAGAATTTGATCGAGGTCCTCAGAGTGAATGTTGTGAAATCTCTACACCCTCAGGCTCTACATCGATGTACCTGAAGGATAGTTTCAATTTTCATTTGACTCTTCGTCAACTTCAATTTGCGTTCGTACGTCTCACGTAGAGGGTGAGTAGCTCTTCTATGCCACCTCATTTTTGTGAGACACTATACGCGCTCCTCGATGCTTATGAGCTGTATACGTGTGCGTGTGTGTGTGTAATAGTATACAGTACATCTACATGCGTAGAAGCGTGGGCGGAGGAGGAGCTGCGCAGGAGAAACTCGCGCGCAAGCGAGGCGTGAAAGGGGCGTCGTTGACTTTGGTATTATTGAGCTTGCGGACTCTGCGCGTTTATATCGCACACATAGCTATAATATACCGAAATGTATACAAGGATAAGCGCGCTCATATGCATACGCGCTCACATGCTCGCGTCTGCCTGCTCTTCGGAGGCGTGAACTTTTCTTTGGCTCTTTGCGTCGAGAGCGGGCTCTGCACATCTCGTACAACTGCGCAAAGAACAAATCATTCCGTGACTATCACATATGTATAAATACACCGAAGCGTTGTTTATATCGCACTCGCGCGCGCTCCCTAACTTATACATAATAGAGGTGACTCTGCCGATTTTCATTATGGATGCCTCCATTCCCTCTCTCTCTCTCTCTCTCTCTCTCTCATCGCGTATCGTGGCATATGTATATCTAAGCGTTCGGTACGACTGCCTTACTATACGAAATGCTCTTTTTATTGTCACGATCAAGGTGTTACTTTGAACGCACGACGTATCGCTTCGATTTTGTCCCTCTTTGGCGTACGCGTGATTTATGCAACCAGCATCGTGACGACTTTTGATTATGCCCATAACGCCCCGTAACAAGTTCAATTTTACACGAAGATTATGTATTGTATCTATATGGGTCCGATTTATACATCGATGAATTTTCATGGCATGGAGCAACGACGTTCGTTAGGAGTACTCGAAACGACGCTTTTTTCGATGCGACTTGATTGGTCTTTGACGGCGGCAACCAATTTAAAATTCAAATAATTATGTTTAAGAAATTAAAAGCTATCTTCAAGTACTATTATGTACTACGACTATAATTAGAGGCTTTAACTAATTTATTCTATTTGTCGACCACTTGTGCCTAAGTAAGCAACAGCAAAAAACATTACGCAACGTATAGCAAGATGACTTTCAATGATTCACAACGATAATTTAATTTTTCAGCCCGTAGAGCTCGACACGCTCCTATCGAGGAACGATGGCCACAGGGTGGACGACGACGACGTCGCCAAGGACAGCACGATCGACGAGTACTTCGAGCAGGTCGGCCCAGCGGCGTGTCGGCCGAGTTTCGTCGCAGCCGTCGTCAATAATACACAGCAGCAGCAGCGAGGCGCGCATCAGCATCATCATCATCACGGCCAATCGTCGTCGTCGTCGTCGTCGTCGTCCTCGGGGCATCATTCGTTGCATCAGCAGTCGTCGGCGCACGTGACGACGTTGCAGAACAACCCCAGCGACGACGACGTCTTTCTCAGGCCGCCTCTCTGGGAGGACATTACGTCGAGCATACAGAAATTAGATCCCGAGAATGCCGACATGCTCGGACAGGCTCAGACGGTCTCCCACGTGAGTTTCCATACTCAGACCCTCGTATGTATTTTTTTTCTTTTTTTTAATATTATAGATTATCGTCAACTTAATCTCGCGAGAATATTTGCTTAAACTTAATTTGCCTATACTTTTACTTTGATACATTTCTCGTCAATAAATTGTTTTACAATATCAAGCGTCAATTAAAATATATGAAAAAATATTATACGTGTACGAGAACGAATTACAAGATTAATTTGTATTGTGCAGCTACACGTAAAGTTGGAGAATCTCTCGGACGATCAAATCGATCCGATGTCGTCGCCACAGCCGGTCCTGTCGCCTCAAGACATTAAACCCGATCCTCAATCGTTGTCGCAACCGACGCTTCATCTACTCGAGGCTCCAACGTCGTCGTCGTCGTACATCGCCGCAGCCAATAGGCAGCAGCATCATCGGACCAATGCCTTCAAATTGTTTCCCTGCACCAACAACAATAATCCTAGTACCAATAACAACAACAGCATACAGTGAGCAATTCAATCATTTTTTTCTTATCGAAATATTCGTGAGCTTGTGACAAGTAAAGCTTCGTTAAGAAATGAAATACCGTTGCTACTTTCAAGAGCTCTTTAGCGCTGATTCTTGATAAACTCTTGAGGTTTTTTTAAATGTTCTTGTGCTTCACGAATACATAGTACTCTAACGATATTCCCCAAATCATTTAATTATAATTCAACTATTCCACTCTCGAGTATATCTTTAACGATCTTCAAATATCTATTCGACAGCAATAATTGCAACGTGAGCAGTAACAGCACAGAACAGACGCAATCGACAAACAACAATAGTAGCAATAACAACAACAGCAACAATAGCAATGGTGCGCTGTCCTCGCTGACGTTTGGCTCGATGTCGCGTCTCATGTACGTTTCACCTCTGACGCCGCCGATTTCCGATCCTGGCTCACCTCTGGCCGGTGGACCGTCGCGTAGGACGCCCCCGCCGCCGTACCCTCAAATCCAGTTGACGACGAGTAACGCCAATAATCCTGGAAATAATGGCCTCCTGGTCGGGGCTAATAGTAACAATGCGGCCTCGAGCTTGAGATTGGGCTCCTCCACGACGACGGGGGCGGCATCGGCGAATAACACGACGTCGGGGACGGTCGGCCAGACGGGCCATACAACAAAGTTCAACAGAAGAAATAATCCGGAATTAGAGAAGCGGAGAGTTCATCATTGTGATTTTCGAGGTAATGTTATTGACAATTAATTCAACGGTAATTTCATATCCTGTACATTGATACTTTGACGCGTTGGGTTTTTCCAAAAACAAAAAATTAATTAATTTGTTTCATTTAAACGTTTTTTCTCTTACGACTCACGATGATTGCGGCGATTTGTTTGTAACATATATATTATGAATTTCCGCGACACTTGCAGAATTATACAGATATGCAGGTATTTGCTCGCGGAGTTGCTGTATTAATCAGCTGCAGCACTTTTACGACAAAATTTGTGTATAAGTACAGGTTTATTATCATAAAAAAAAGATATATATATTACGTGCGCGCAAACGTTATTACGAATCGTCGCGCTAAAAGGTGTTACTTAAACGCGTCGAAAATAATAATAAGCAGTAACTGCGCTGGTCATGCGAAGGCCTCGCGTATGTGCAGACGTGCGCTGCCTATACGCGTATATTATATTATTATTTCACGCAAACGCGCGAAGATGAAAAAAACGTATATGCACACGCGACAGCGTCGTCTTCGTCGTGGTCGTTTCAAAAGAACAGATACACACTTGTAAAGATGTGGCTCTCGAGAAATTGAAAAGACGCTATATGCGCCTGTATATGGCAGTGACTTTTTGTGTCACTTTAGAAGCGTACGAAGAAGGTATATAATAATAAGAAGAAGAAGAAGAGAACGGCCGCGGCGACAAGCAACGTGTACGCGCTGACGACTATGATCTCTCTCTCTCTCTCTCTCATTTTCATGCTTTTTTGTTCTTACTCTTGCTTCTCTCTTTGCAGGATGCACGAAGGTGTACACAAAAAGTTCGCACCTCAAAGCTCACCAGCGCATCCATACGGGTAAGTCGCTGCTTTTATTATATGCACATACCTCTTGGACTAAGTAAGCCTGCTTGTGCTTGAAACTACCTGTGTGTATGTGATGCGTGTATGCAGATATCGCGCTGCTCTCGAGCTGTCTCAATAAACAAAAATGTAGCTACACGCGGCGTGTGTGCGCCGAGGGAGAGATACACGAGCTGCCCGACGAAACTGGAAATTTATCGAAAGGCCATTAATTTTGCCGCCCAAAGTATCATAGTTCGCTATCGCTTTTATGGGAGGGACTTTGATGCGCTGAGCGATATACTCGCGTTGTATTATAATGTACATGTATATATATGTAGTCAAGCTGCACGTCCAACTACTGCAACGCGTACAACGTGAGAAAAAACCAACTCGTGCTTTCGAGAGCTTGATTTATACGTGTCTCGCGATGTACGCACACGCCAAAGGTTCGATGCCACTCCGCTTACAATGAAAGTCAATCGGTGAGCCGTACGCATCTCGTGCATGAATCGCGTAACGAACGAGCAGCGGTGGACAACGGTGCGTTTGATATTCGATTACATTTCGCAAGAGCTGCGCGTAACTGGCGAGGCTCGCGACGTGCGCCTCAACCTCTTTCGTTGCACGAATATTAAGGAGCTGATTTGGGCCTCTCCAGTGGGAGGGGATGAAACGGAACGCGACGAGCTCCCTATACTCAAAATTATCAAAGCTGTCGACTTTGAATGAACTCGCAATTTCATGGTCATATTTTCATTAACTAGGGCACATAACTATTGAAGGAAATAATAACTATACTATATAAACATTATTTTATCGAGTTGAACGATTCAACGAGTCAGGATCTTGTAGATCCGTTACCTTTTTCGGTTCAATTGTTTGCTATTATATTTCCTACTACCCGGATTTTTAAATTTTTTTTATCATATATTTTGTATCTTTTTATATATTCCAAGTCCAAAATTGACGATTTCTCGTAAAAACTGTTAATTTTTAAGAAAGGTAAATTCTTTTGTTCATATTTTTACAAAATTTGTCTGTATTTTGAAAGAGGTATTCCCGAATTTGCTTAACTAGCTACGCATGTATTATGCGACGAGCGGCAAAATCCTCTTAACTGAAGACAAAGTTTGAAATTATGCATAACGCGTGTCCGCCGACATTCGCTGCTCTCGATGTACGCGCGTCGTGACACGTGCCATTCTTCGGTGTTCTGATTTTTATTTATTTTCTTTTTCGAATTAGCATTCTTTTATTAAGCCGTCATTAAACTTGATAAACAGTAAAAAAAACAAGCTATAATATCTCAGCGAGAGGCGCACGTCGCGTGGCTTTTTTGCGGGGATAACGAAATTTTCGAGACATTCGTAGCTCTGGCTTATTAAGAAGGTGCAAGTCAGATATCGTAGGCGCGAATCGAATCATGATTAGCGAATATGTTTTGCTTTTTTTTCTTACAATTATGGCCCAATTAGCGAATATAGGACAAAAATCGTGTTCCGTCTGTATCCATCAAGTCGAAGGCGTACAACGGAAATTACTCTTTATGAGTGCGCGTTTTTAGACGTATAGGTAACTCAATAAGACGCGGGCGCGACGCAGCACAATCAGCGCTTTCGAACGAGCTTGGATAATTCCAAAAAAAGACGAGTTCACGCGAGTGCGTAGTACGCGCGGGACTAATAGTCGTTGCGAGTTACCATAGCTAATAACCGCTCGCGCGAAGCGAAGAAGAAAGAAAGAGAGAAAGATGAACCGACAGCGATACAAGCCGAGCTTTTATACATTAAACGGACCGCGAATGACTGGAGGGCGCGGTACACGTTGTGCACGTACGTGCTCTATGAGCAGACCCAAGTGCGCTTTGCGCACTGCAGCATATATAGATTCTGGCGCGCGCGCGGAATGAAGAAATTATATAATCGCTCGTTTAGCTCTTGCTACTGGCTGCTGCCGCTGGGAGGAGGATGATGATTATTGGCCGTCACTTGGCCATTATATAAGTGTATATATTAATTTTTATTGCCGCGAAAGGGGGAGAACGAGTAGCTTGTCTAAGAGTGCGTCGTGGTCCAGTGAGGACACCACCGCGCATTATACGCGCGTATATCCTATATACCATATACTGGCTTGGCTTGCATGTGGAGGTAGTTCACTTACCGCGCGCAGCAGCGACTAATACAATTATGAGAGGATACGCAACGAGATGAACACTTGCGGTTTTACTCTCTCTCTTTCTCTCGACCGAGTATTTATGCTTTATTGCCCGTGTGTCTACTATACTTTGGACGCGTGTATATTGGAGTCTGGCGCGTGAAACGTCTGTATGTCTCTTTTTCCTTTCCTTCTGACTGTAGTCGATGCCAATGCTGCGAATGCAAATTACATTAACGCGGCGCAAATCATACTGCGAGCTCGAGAGTCGCTCCTTTTATTTCCGCGACGAACGAAACGACGAACGAAATGCGACGCTCGCTTTTTATTTATAATCAGCGCTACACGTGCAGTTACATACATTATATGGCAGGCTCTTTATCGCCACTCGCCAAAGAAGCAAAGAAAAAAAACGAGCTTTTTTCATTTATCCTCGGCGATATAATGTGTATGACGAACAATCCAGGCAAGGAAAAAAATGTAATGTGCATAAGCCGAAAGCTTGTCCTCCTAATATAAGAGAAATCCATAATACAAATCAGCATCCCGTTGACTTCCTTCCTCGGCTCGTTTTTTTGCTGATTTTCATTCAATACGCGAGCGGCCCGCGCGTACAGTACACTACGCTGTATGGCAGCCATTCTTTGCGATTCTTTTCATTCGGACTTTCGAGAGTCCGCGGCACCTAAATATACATATAATAAATCCAGCTCATCAGCATAACGAACGCCATCGGCGAGGCTTACTTTGAATCGCCAACATCCGGTGTGCGTACGTACGTGTATGTGCTCCTTGTACGCAGGTATACATATACTGGACCTCTCTCTTGCTCTTACTCTCTGTATGTATGTGTAATATAACATCGGTGTGCGCTCCGCAGGGGACCAGGTTGCACACGTTCTCTCTCTCTCTTTCTATCTCCTCGGCCAGTACACATAACGGGTTGAGAGCCTCAAGCACGTGGCTCTTCTTCTTCTCCTTCTTCTACATCTTTTTCCTTTTCTCTTCTCTTCTTCAATGAACATCGCGTAAACTTGAAGAAAATTCATCTCTGTTGCACATGCAAAACTCGATGCGCGCACGAGGCAAGCGGCATTCCATTATCTATGCTATATTATTCATTATGCTAGAACAACTAGCGAATAATTTTTAGCAGCTGGCAAAGCTGTAGACGAGTTGTACATTCTTTTTGCACAAACGACCCTCCGATTCGCACATTTCGTCTAAAACCGAGCCGATTAAATTGCAGTGTTCAAGCAAAATCTTCCACGAGTATGATCAGTTTACTTTACTGACTTAGTAAATTGGTTATATTTGTATACGCGTGACTTTTTTATTTCAGCGCAAAAGTGCCTCAAATGAAAGCGTGGCTCGTTAAGCGCGCGCGCGCGTAGTGCTGTATATGTAGGACGGTTTTTATGAATGGAAAGTGAATCTCGGAATTTCGTGTATGCGTATCATAACATAAGCGTGTGTTTGCGAATGTGCGCTTGCGACATGTTGCGAACAAAAAAGAAGAAGAAATATTGACTTAAAAAACACGATCGATCTCACTGTGAAATGTTTATTTTTTCATAAGTCGGATATTACGGCTTTATCAATCGTGAAATTTAATGTACCTACAGAAAAATGTTCATATCCGCATTTATATATGAGTCTAGACATTTAAATGCCGATACGAATCTCGAGCTACCGATACATGCTCGAGTCAAGAGAGAGAAAGAGAGAAGCTGAGAGGGGAGAATCGCTCGCGAACTGCGAATCTCGTCAAGCGCATTCATCCCGCTGGATGTGTCATTTTACCTACGGAGCACCTTATGTTTCATTAATATTCCAATCAGATTAGTAAGACCGCGCGTACTAAATCATTGCGACGTGCTCCATTGACTTTTTGTACACACATCAAAGCGATGTCTCTGATCGTCTTGTCTCTTGCGTGTGTGCGCTCGACAGATCCGACGACGGAAACGCTTTAATTTTTCACCCGAGACCTCTTCAGGTTTGACGTATCTTTGACGTACGATCGAAATTCATGCGCCGAGGAAAGTATCGTCGAGTCGCCGATTTTTCAATTACATTCAACCTTATGATCATCGTTGCAATGCGGAGACGATGATATTCGCCACTTGTTATTCATCAGCCAATCGCCAAGTTCTGGGTATGGATTTTCTCATGCACCCACGCCCGATACGTGTTCGTAAATATTCTTATGAAATTTTGTAAAATACACGATCTTCGTATCGTAACATCTCACGAATAAATATCGAAAAATTTTCCCTACAAATTCTCAAGGATCTGAGTTCGTATATATTGTAATGCCCATACGTATTATCGACCAATCTACGATGCAGATGGAATAAAGAGCGGAGCAATGGTTCGATCATCATTTCGTAATTCACTTTAGAACTTGTGAAAAAAGTGCACTGGAAATAAATATATTCTTTGGAGCTTTAGAAAAATTTCGAGATTTTATTCTAGTTGGCTTTATGGACGATGCAGAGCCCAAGTGACCTAATGACTTTCTTATACTTTTTTATATCATCAACCTCGCGTAAGGCATCGTTCATTCGATCGAAAGATATGCAACCGCTATGAAAGCACAAAGGCCTGACTCGATCAACCTCGCCATTTGTCTCTCATTTCATCATTGCGAAATCGACGAATTTTCGTTCAAACTCGCCTAATGTATACGCGTCGAGAAAGAATCAAGAAAGAGAGATTAGAAAGAATAGAACAACAATTGCTGCTTAGGAATTGCATTGCCAACGATTGAATTTTTGCAAAATATTTCAATTGCCTCGAAAGCCCGACTCGAAGAGTATACGAGCACGTCGGTAAGCCGCGCGTTGATGTTTCCATTGTCTATGCACAAACACCAAGCATAGGTCACAATGAAAAGTGCAAGTTGAATCGAACGAATGATATGAATGATTTGTATGCATTATGGGTCTTCTGATCGAAAAAAATGCTTTATTAACATATTGGCAAGTATAAAGACGCAAAGGCACGGGATGTATAAAAGCAAAAAGTGAAGCGCATGAAGAAGGAAACGTACACGTGAGCGACACGCTGGGCAGACGAGTCGGCAGCCGTCGAGCTGTATCGAATGATTCATGCAATCGGTTGGACGTATGTAATTAGGATCGATCGGTAAAGAAAAAGCGACGAGACGCTAATTCGATACCGTAGCGGGATAATGGACGATGCGGACGAGTGAGCAACCCGACTCGATGACGTGCATTACGACTTTTTTCCTTTTTGCACGACTTAATTCGATTTGGCCATTTTCAGAGCACACATTGCGATCGCGCGCGGTGGCATAAACGCAATAATGTCTCCATTTGACAATCGAAGCCATCAAAAAAGACCGCGTAGGTAGATGAGTAAATCTTACCTTCAATTGCTTTACAGCTATGACTCGCGATCGCGAAGCGTTAATATAATTATAAATAAAGTCATTCGGAGCGGGGACGCGCTACACAATCCCAGCAAATTTTCTAATTGTTCGACGATGGCGAGGAAGGCAAATTAAAATGAAATCCAAATGCGAGAGATCTGCAAGAGGCAACTTCTCGTTGTGTGTCTGTCGTCGAGCTTGAGACAAAGAATGGCTGTTTGCGCGCGGTGGCATTAATGAATTATGCAGATTCGAGCCGAGTAATGTCACCCTTTCGCGTGCAGAGTTCGCGTGTTCGTCTCTCTCTCTCTTTTTTACATGCCCGCGGAGAAATATTCTCCTCGTCGATCGCGTTGCCTCATCGTTACGGCATTTTCCAAGTCGCATCATCGCTCGCGCGCATAACTGCTTATGCATGTGAGTCGTCTGAGGCTGTGTCGGTTGTGCGCGCCTCTCACCCGCGCAGCGCGCATATTCCGTGACATGACCTTTCGCCAGCGCACGTATACTTGGAGACAGGCCGTACGTATGGCGCAGATATAAGGTAGAAAGATCCAAACTCGCAGAGAAGAAAGACTTTGTTTTGTGTATATGCTATATGTGTGCCGTATGTGTGTATGTAATACGACGACGACGACGACGAGCGGGGAGAAAGACGCGAAAGAGAAGGTTACAAACTTCACTCTCGCTTGCTCGTACCTACTCCTCTCTCGGCTCTCGGCTGTAGAACAGCAAAAGATCACGATTTCGTTTTTATTGGAGCTTCTCTCTTGTACACTCACTCACTCTCACGTACGGTACTCGCGGCGGCTTGCATTGCCCAATCTTCCCTCTTTGAAGATACACACACACACACACACACAAAGGATAATAGTTCGTGACCGCCTACATTAATGTATCGGGGGATAGGTACATTCGTAGCTCGGAGTTTTGTGCTGTTGTAGCGCTGCACACATACACACAGACACATGTATAGGACTTTGCGTTTCTCTGGCTGCATATGTACTCGGGCCTATATGTTAGCTGCTATACATACATATAAGAGTAGCTTGGGCAGAATCTATATATCTGCACTCGTGTATACGTACGTATATGTATATTGTACGCCGTATCGTATGCATGTGTGTTTGCGTTTGCGTCGGGCTCTGCTTGCGTAATTTCCTATAGGCGTACATGCACAGAGTCGACGCGAGTCTGGCACGTATAAAAGGTACGATCTATCGCTTAATTGCACATTCTGCGGCTGCTCGGTCGTCGCGCTATGCGGCTCGATCGGCTTTGTAAGGCTCGCGTGCTTCGCGCTGAGCCGCGCACGAGCAAAGGCCGATTTTTCGTGCTTCTGCGCCATGTGACCCGACCTGCCAGCTCCATGCGCACCTTTTTTTCCTCTCCTACGAGCCTTCGTCGGCCAACTTTTCGCCGCTCTTGCTCTTCGTCCTCCGACTATCTCGGGGAAAATTCGTTCTTTTCGGTCGTGAAATTATCGACGTCTATAGGAGCGATTGCCTAGTTGCAAAGTATACTCACGATCGAAGCCCGTAGCACGAGGCAACAACTGCAGCAGCGCTACGCAAAAGTATTTTTGATATATTATATGCACAATGTATGCGGGCGATGGAGAAAAGATTATTATTAAGAGATATTTATGACTTTGTTCCATTTGGCTGGCTGCGGAGCCCGCTTGCGCGTAACGTGTTGTTTGTAAATAGCTGCGAATATATATATATATCTATGAGCAATGCGAGTTGTGTGCGCTTTTGAAGGGGGTGAAAGGTTACAGCAGACAGAGCCGAGTCGACGCCATATATCGAACGATTCTTTGTTCGCTATCTAGACTATCGTTACCAACTATTCCAAAGAACCGATCGCTGACTCTGCTATGAACGTTAAAATACGATCGCTGCCGATCATCTTCCTGAGGTGACTTTTGGCCACGCGCTCCAATCTCTATTCATTCAAAGTCCTCGCGCGTTCGAAAGGGCGCATCGATGAGAAAGATTAAACGATTGGGAATATGTATATAAATATAAGCTCGGTCGCACCTTTTTTTTCTTCGATTTCGTTCGAAACGTATAAATGCGAATTGCGCTTGCTCGAGAGTACCTTTAACACGCGCCTAGAGAATAGCATTGCTATGAGGCAATCGGTAATATAGAGTCGCGGTCTCTCTCTCTCGCGTGAGTTCTTTCTCTCCAGCTAGAATGCAAATCCACCTCTTGGATCACAATCCTATAATACGTGTGCAGTAAGTAAGCTCTTGACTTGTGCCTTATATGAGCTCGTAGCCATACAAACGATGTGAGACGGAGAGAGAGAGAGAGAAAGAGAAAAGAAAGAGACAAAGAGGCCATATTTTAGGTGTTCTAACTAATGTTTAGGACTCTCTATAGACACGCTATGGATGTATAACAGTTGTATTCGAGCGCGAGTGCATGTATGTGTTTCTACAAGAGTGTAATTGAACGACCTATTTGCCGGCTTGACTTATTCGTGCCGTAGAATTTGTATTAAACTCCCAACGTGATTCTTGTATACTTTATAGGCACGCGGAGTAACTTGGAAAGTTGGACGGATTAAAGTCGCGAGCTTTTTCATTAGATTATGCGAGCATGTACATTTAAATGTAGACAGTTTGGCTGTTATGCTGTTGTAATGCCTCTTATGTGACGTTTATCTAATTTTTCTAACCTTTCTTTCGTCTTTTTGCAGGTGAAAAACCGTATCATTGCCACTGGCCGGATTGTGAGTGGCGCTTCGCACGCTCGGACGAGCTTACGCGCCATTATCGCAAGCACACGGGGGCCAAACCCTTCAAGTGTACCGTCTGCGAGAGGTCCTTCGCCAGGAGCGATCATCTGGCCCTGCACATGAAACGGCACGCGCCCAAGCTCACGGCCAAGTGATAATTGACCGCGCAACCCGAAGCAAACCCATTTTCCCACCAAGAAGTCTCAGTTCAATAATTGTTGATATAGTTTTTAATTTAAATACCGAATGAATTATTACTTTTTAATTTTAAAATATCTCAATCATTTTCTGTGTATTCCAGTATCTTATATTGCCTGTAAATCAAAATGTATTGGGATACCCGCGAGATGCCCCGTAAATACTGTATATTTCGCTCTCTATATTCTCTCCTTTTAAACTTATCTCGCTGCTCGGCCATTCGAGGTCAGCGCGCAAACATCGGCAAAATATTTATTCTACACCATTAAAGCTCAAACGATAAGCTTGCGACAGCTTATGATCTCCCTTGTGCTCTTGAGAGCTTTAACCGACTTCTATCGATGACTAGTGATCTGACACAAGAGCCACTCGATTAAATACCTTAATTATTGTGAGCCGTGAACACAAAGAGCTTCTTTAACAGATAATATATAAATATGAAAATACTTATTATACACTGAAAAAAATTTTATACCCAAATCCAGCGAAAATGGCTAGCTGGATCAGCAAAAGATATTTTGCTGCCACGGCAAAATTATTTTGCTGTGGGAGCAAAAAATTTTTGTCGCGGCAGCTATATGATTTTGCTGGGACAGCAAAAGGTTTTCTCGTGGCAGCAAAATATCTTTTGCTGATCCAGCTGTCCACTTTCGCTGAATAGACTTGGGCACAAGGACACTCGTAACCAATCGACTTGCTTTGGAAGTCCAATGCATGGCACAGAATGTGTAAGTAGCGGAGAGCAACGAACATCGTCGAGAGCCAGCCGAGGCAACTTTTTAGAACAAGTTCTAAATGCATAACTCGGAGTCAGTGGCGGCACACACGTGAGATGTTATTTGCTGGCATTTAGCCTGCTGCTGCGGCACACACACACACTCACCCATGCGATGTCGGCCTACACATCGCTGTTGCGATTCAGAGCGATCTCTAAAACGATTCGCACTGTTTCGTTACTACACGCACAAACACAAACACACATTGCATGAGACGATATCGCAACTCAAGAGCCTTATGCAAGCACACGTATACACACACGAATGATCACATACTCACACTAATGTGAACGATTCGAATGTCCGTTATAACGCGACTTGACATCGTCAAATCGCACACGGCACCAATTTGCACAAACAAGGATGCTCCGCTGACCGCCACTCGAAGGTACAATCACACATACACATACACACACACACACACGCATGCGTGTAAGCGAAGCAACACGCGCACGAGCTGCCGAGTTGCCAGCACGTCTGTCGTTTGTCGTTACTCCCAAAATGCAGAAACACATAGTATTGACTGTTTTTCGACCGTATTGCACCATGTCAGCTTATACGAATCCTGGTCACTCGACAGCTCGCGCGCGTGTTGCTTCGTTTACACTCATGCGCGTGTATGTGTGTGTGTGTGTTTGTACCTTCGAGTGGCGCTCAGCGGAGCGTCCTTGTTTGTGCAACTTGGTGCCGTGTGCGATTTGACGATGTCAAGTCGCGTTATAACGGACATTCGAATCGTTCACATTTGTGTGAGTATGTGATCATTCGTGTGTGTATACATGCATTTGCAATGTGTGTTTGTGTTTGTGCGTGTAGTGACGAAACATGCCAGCAAATAACATCTCACGTGTGTATAGAAGTGTGTCGCCACCGACTCCGAGTTATGCATTTAGAACTTGTTCTAAAAATTTGCCTCGGCTGGCTCTCGGCGATGTTCGTTGCTCTCCGCTACTTACACATTCTGTGCCATGCATTGGACTTCCAAAGCAAGTCGATTGGTTACGAGTGTCCTTGTGCCCAAGTCTATTCAGCGAAAGTGGACAGCTGGATCAGCAAAAGATATTTTGCTGCCACGAAAAAACCTTTTGCTGTCCCAGCAAAATCATATAGCTGCCGCGACAAAAATTTTTTGCTCCCACAGCAAAATAATTTTGCCGTGGCAGCAAAATATCTTTTGCTGATCCAGCTAGCCATTTTCGCTGGATTTGGGTATAAAATTTTTTTCAGTGTATTATTGTAATTATGATTATGATTATTTTTATTACGATTACGGTTATTATTATTATTATTATTACTTTTATAATCATAAAAGTGTGATGCGAGATTTATAGTTTTCTCGATGAGTTGAATTAATTTTTTATATTAAAAAATTGTACATTTTAATTTTTGAATATTCTAAACAAATTATATAGTTTAGCTTATATTTTTATAATACAAAATTGAAAAATTTGAAAAGATTTTGTTTAAGGTGCAATTTTCAACGTCTGAATGAATTCTACCCTTTTGGTAGATAAAAATGATTTTTGATTTCATCTTTTAGAGTATCGGAAAAGTATACTTTTGATTTTAAATATGATCCTATTGTTTACTATGACACTTAATTTATTAACCGTCGATTCACGGAATAATGTAATCATATTTTTATCATTTTAATGACTGTGACCAATACCGATACTCTGGAAGTTGATTTTTTTTCTGAAAGTACATTTTTACCTGGCCTGGTACAGTATTATTTTAGCAAAAAATTGTTTTAAAAAATGTACTAATTTTGCGTTTCAGCAAGTGTGAAAAACTGTAAACAAATTCACATTCAACTCTTAAATACGAAAATTTTGAAAGTGTAATTTGAAATTTGTTATAATGGTGTTTTAGTTTGAAAAAAGTATCATTTGATCTTAAATTAATTAAACTACCATTACGTCGGTTTCACGTAAAGGCGGTCGTGAATGTATATAATTAGAAATAGATTAGAAGTAATTTAAAAATCAGAAATTATACCTTTTACTCGAAGCTTTTCATGAATTTTATGCAATGCATCATCTTCTAATGGCTACCGGCGCACGCTTTTTGTGGCTGGCCCACATCTCGATTTTTGTAAATCATCATGATTTTTATACAAACGAGCAAATCAATGACGAGGTGAAGTGCATGAAAATTACTGTTTGTTTACATCATTTTTCAAACTGAAATAAAAATAAATGAATATGCTTTAGATTCGACTCAATAATGGATTCCTATTATATATTTTTTTTTTATTTGATGATCTGTATAAGTTCAGGAAAAGCACGAGAAATTTTACGCGCGATTCCAAAAGCATCGATCAAATTAATAAATTTAAAAATGAAAATTATGTAATTCGGCAAATAGCTCATGAAGCATGCTATTCACATTTCGACGCTGTACACGATCACTGCGATATACATAATAGTTACGAAGAATTACAAGGTCGCTAGTCCAGATGATGACAGTGTGCTACTTACTACTTTTTTTTTATAAATAATGATTAACATTATCATAGAGCTATTATTGTAAAAGTAGTTTTAATTGATTTTGTAAAATGTACCAACCGATTATACATATACATATATATAATATATTTAAACATAAAATATCAGAACAAATATAATATTCTGTACGGCGCATGAAGTTGAGCGAAACAGCTGAGATTTTCACGTTCGATGCCTCTTCGGCGCGCTCTGTTTCCAAAGACTTGTAACTTTTTTTCGCACTGTAGAACTTAATTATATTTTCGATACTTTACCCAATACAACTTTTAAGACAAAAATGATACATGGATATTTAATGTCAATATACTGAAAGTCGAGGCGTGCTTTTGTCAATTGGAATTGCTACGTCGTTATACACACATATATGTCAGGCTGACATCGTCACAACGCAAACCGTCCAAAAATAATGAAGGTGCAAAATTGTGGTAACTAAGAGAGCAAAAAATTTATCTTTTCAAGCGTATGGGAGTATCTTGAAAGATATTTCACCACGCTTCAAATGATAGATGTGTATAAGAAATGAAACTTTATGTACAAAGCCGATGGAAACACACGAAAACTTAACAAAATAATTCATGAATTTTCAGAAAAGTAAAATACGATTGGTTAAAGTCGAGAGAAAATGTAATTAATATTGTGTTTCCGTTGCTTTAATTTTATTTATAATAGATATTACAAGTGCGTATTTAATTATGTATTACACTACATCCTTATGGCAAAATTTAGACTATTAAAACGAGTACTCGTATGTGTATTATAAGTATCACTATTCAGTGTATATAACGTGAAAATTATAAAATCCAAAAGTTGACATTTAAAGAGACGAGAAAAATCGATAAACCCTAGTCTGTATCTGCTATATTCGTTGAAATTAAAACGAAATTAATAATAAATGAAATATATGAATCGTTGAATGAGATATGATATTTAAAACAGTTATTTTGGGAAATCCTGCAACCTTCCATAAATTATAGATGCAATCCAATCGTGAAAAGGCACTAGTATCGCGAGAAAATTTTATTGGAGTATAAAACTTTTTTTCAATGGAATTTGATTTTGGTCTCGGTGATAAGTAAAGCGCTCACGCAAAAAGAATTCATGAGTAATAATTTAATCAAATTAATTGCTTTATTTTTTATAATATTTACTACGTTTTTTTTTAATTTATTCAAACATAAAATTTTAGTATGGATCGTCAAACCACATATTTATGATTTCTTTTGTTGAATGTCCGATCGCACTATTGCATCGTTGTCAGTTTTGTTTATAAATTCATTCACATTATATTCCGTAATTAGAGTTAAATAGTCGATTACTTGCCTAGAGAGCAAAAAACTGGAAAGTCTCAGATCATTTATAATTATTTGTCGAGCCGAATTTTGTTTGGGACGCAGAAACATTTACTTTCATCTTAATGTCATTGGAACATCAAGAAAAAATATTCATAATTTTGATAAAAATTATTATCGCTCCTTTATTTTTACTAAATCTCATCTCTGTTACTTTTTAGAATCAAAGCAAATATTTAATTCTTTATTCTAGTCAGATTTAACACATTCTTTGATCCCTATACAATTCTCTATGGTAATTGAGAAAATATAAAAAAGTGTAGTATAACATATACATTTTCGAGCACATGTCATTTTATTTAAAAAATTGGAAAACAAATCATGAAAACTTTTCGAATTTCCCTTTTTATTTTACAATAACAATAATCATGGTATACTTCAGCGCTATTGATGAACTTAACAATTTTAAAATTTTTTCTATCTATAACATGAAAGGTATTTTTTACTAAATTATAAAGGCACCTTTAATTTAAATCAATTAAAAAAATACCAATATTAATTTTTCATGCTTTTGAATATAATTCTAAAACCAAGCCAGTCTCTTCTTCCAATCTTAAGTCGTCAATCAAAACTGACTTGACGTCTACGTTTGCGACCATGCATTTGTCCTAATGTTTCAAACTCCATCACATTCATTCGAATTTTACCTTTGCGCCAAAATTTCTTTTTTTTTTTCTTATTTTTTGAATTTTGAGATGAATTGGCAGATTGTTCGTCTGAATTTCGAATTATAGATAACATTTCTTGAAATTTCTTTCCTTTTGGAATACTTTTGCCTTTTTTGTTACTAATAGGTATATAGCTGGGAGACGAAGTTTCGTTTCCATTCATCTTTTGTGTTTTAACCGATCGTTGCTCTTTACTTCCTTCAATCATTTTTTTTCTTAATTCAGTTTTAGTAATTGGCTTTTCAGACATGTTACATATGTCAAGCCAGTTTATTTGTTTTTTAAATTCGACTCCAGGATTATTTGACTTATTTTTATCATCTTTAAAATCATGTTTATCATGCATTTCATTAATTTCATCCAATGTGTAATTGAAATACCTTGCAGATTTTTTCTTATAAATTATTTTGCCTTCCGTCACTTCTTCATTTCTAGTTTCTTCTTCTTTCCGTTTTTCTAATTGAGAACTTGCAGTTGAACTTAAAAGTGCATCGATAGATGTATTAAGTGCAGAATGATTGGGAGGTAGAGTTTCTTCTTGTGTTTCGGCTGTAGAAATATCCTCATTTTTTTTAAAGAATGGATTGACTATTAGTACACTTTCCTCTGTTGCTGTAGACGGAATCAGTTTATATTTTTTACCAGGACTCACGAAAAATGGTAAATTTTTTTCCGTCTGAAATTGATAAATATTAATTGATAATTAATTATTAATTCATTTCTTAAAATTATCATTATAAAAGATGAAATGAGAGTTAAAGTTGATTGATCTACTCTATTTGGTGAATTAATCCATAAATTACAAACTGATTTTTGTGAGATAGAAAAACTTTTGCTCTCATTTGCCAAAGTATGTAAAAATACTGTACCTCTGTTTTTGAATTGTTAAATGCAGTACTGGATAGCATACACGGTAAATTTTGTTGAATTGTCATTCCACTTATCAAATCAGGGGAGGATGTATTCCATGAGTTCGAATCATTTAATTGATTGTTTTGCATCAATAATTTATCTGTTGTTTCAAAAGGTTGATCTCTTGCATTTGAAATTAATTTATGAATTATCATTACATTTTGTCTGATAAGGGGTGGTATTTTATCACAGCATGCAAAGATTCCATGCTCATTCTCTGGCAGAGTCTCTGCAATTTTTATTAACATATGATCTGGTAAAACCATATGGTAACTTTCATCTTCTTCTCTTGCAGTTTCATCTCTCCATTTGTGCAATTCTTTTAATACATTGAGTTGTTTGCTATTAAAATTTTTTCTACTTTTTTTGTACATTCTTATGTAACTGTTGTCAGTATAAACTTCTTTTTTATATACTTTTTTACAACTAATAGTGCTATTGGTAAATACATTTTTCAATATACTATCTAGGCCGTTATCTTTATCAATTAAAGCATTTCTTAAGATATCTTTTAGGTACAGCAAATAATGTATGTCTTTTTGGGCATATTTTGTCAGTTCCTCAGGTAAGGGCCTTACCCGCCAATCAACTATTTGAAAATATCTATCAGGATTAATATTGCAAAAAATATCAAGTAAATAAGGTAAGTTAAATAGTGGAAGTTGCAAATCTTTTGCAGCTAAGTGAGTATCAAACATATTAACAACATAAAGAGATAAATCTCTTTGTAATGAACAAATATCTGAATGAGATCCATGAAATACTTTAAGAATGCTTGTATTGGTAAAGATAACATTTAACATGTGTAATTCGGATCTGAGAGTTAATGCATCAATTACATAATCAGTATCAAAAGTTGATATTTGCATTAAGCAAATGATACCTTGGAAAGTTCTATAAGTGTGCTCTTTAAAATCAATTGCAATCTCATTGTAAATTTTTAAATTATCTACCATGGCCCTAAGACTTGCTGTATCATTAATAATAATTAGCGGAGTTTCTTCAATAGATTTACATTTAATTGGTTGCCTCCTCTGCAAGTGTATTTCATGTGGTTTGAATTGATTTAACTCAAACTCATAAGGATGACTATAATATTCAAATCCATCTTCCCCCTGTACTTTATGAATAGCTAAGGGAGTAATTGAATTTGGTTTATTTTTAATCCTAGGTTTCCATGGTCTATAACTATTTTCAATTTTATCCTTAAATTGGAATTGTGGTTTTGGAACATTTTCACAAGTAAATAATCTTAAAGTTTGCGTTGCAGGATGAGTTTTTGAAGAAATTTCATCATTTTTTGATAAAAAATTATTCTCATTGTATGATATTTGCCTCTCAACAACAAGAAAGTTAGTGGGTGTATTTTGACTAGTGCTTTGTTCTATATCCATATAAGCTTCCTGTCAAAAATAGTACATTTGTTAAAAATAAAAATTCAATTGAAAGATATCAATAATTGGACTTACCGCTCTATTAAGCAAAATATCATTTGACTCTAAAAGTATATTATATTTTTCATTAATGTTGTTTGATATAATATTTGTATCTACTCCTGCTTGTTTAACGATGCATTGCATAATATTGGAGATTCTTTTAGTGTGCTTTTCCCTTATTTCATTAAATGTTGGGTAACACTTGTAGTAGTGAAAATCTCTATCACATGGTAATTCATCAGATGCTGTACATCCATTTGTAATGACATCCAATGCAATCTAAAATTATCCATACTAATTAAAATGCATTTTTCACAAATAAATGAAGTAACCGAAACAAATAAAATTAGTAGAAGCATCTTAATTCCATAAACAATATTATAATTATAAATTAAAATATGAATGTTAATATGAAAATAAACATGAAATACAAAAAATGACACATGTTTACTCAGCATTACCTTTTTAAAATCTTCAAATTTCTTTTCAAACTGATTCTGATCTACACTGTCAGATGAATTTTGAGCCATGTTGTTATAGGAAAAAACGAACTGTTACAGACTGTCATGGAGTTGTTTTTTATTGTAACTTGATTTATATACAAGCAAGGGCTGAGAACTGACCTATTTCGTTAGTACGTTATTAATTCACAAAAAGTTCACGATTAAAATCGGTGGTTTGATACACGATGCAGACACACTGTGAGATAGATGTATTTTCACACGTGCTTGCGGTCTCGCAGTGATCGCATTCTGGCGCAGTCTTTCACGTTGCCTTATTTGATGCGATATTGATGGCAAACACTCCACCAGAGGACACTGCACGTTGTAAATTTTTTTTCAAGAAATCGTGTACTATGGCTATGTGAAATTTTTTAAATGCCAATAAAAAACCTACTACTACTACTTCAAGAATCGTAAGGCTGTTATGTATTCTGCAGAGGCCAATAAACAAATTAAAAAAAAAATTCAAGAAGTGCCGCAAAAAAGGCTTCACAATTCCCTCTATTATGTTTTTTTAAATTTCACAGGATAAAATTTTTTATTTACATCACAAAATGATATTCAAAGATTTAAATTGTTGTCTGCAATCATTCATTCAAGGTTTTGCATGATTTAGAGATGATGATTTCAAACAAATTTCAATAATTTATTCAATAATATAATTCAAGTAATTCAATAATAAATTAATTAATTCAATGATTGAATTAAATAATAAAGATTTTGATTTTGAAAATATATGATACAAAATCAATCACCAGATTTATGAATCTTTCTATAATATTTTTACACTATTTTTTAAAAATTTTTAAAACATAACATATTATGTTCCCCATACATCGCCATACTTGTTCTTTTGAGTTCCCTCTAGGTATTGATCTCTTGGCTCTGGTCTTCTGTAAACTGGAGGCTCTATAGGTGCAGGAGCAGCATACCTATTTAAAATATATGTATTCATTAGATATTTTTAATAATTACTGTAAATTTTAAGATAAATAATCATCCTCTATTTGACTTACCCTTGCTGTGGTATGTTTCTTTTACCTTCTGGGTAAAGTCTAAAACAATAAGAAATTTTTTTTTTAAAGTTCAGTATCAAGCGTTGCAATTTTTTAAATTTCATTTACCTGCTGTTATATTCTTGCCTATTTTTGTTTCTCAAATCATCATAACTAGTGTAGTTTTTGGGTTCTTGTGTCAATGTTTCAGATCGTGTTGGATAATAATCTGAAATAATATTCAATTATACTAGATGTATATAATTTGAAAAAAATTAATAATCATTTAAACACTAGCCTGATGGAATTGTATCAAAAGAACTAGTTGATGCTATATCAATATCTGTTGATACACTTTGACGTGTCCACAATTGATCTGGGTTTTTTTCTCCTTCAACTGTTACATAATTCATTGGTATATCATCAATATTTTCCCTAAAAATAATTTCATCCACAATATCAATATCATACTTTTAAATATCATCATTTTACTTTGAAAATAATCAAAATTAACCTTGGTTTTGATTTATTCAAATGTGGCAATATTTTTCTCATATTGCCATCAGGAACTTCTAGAACCCTTTGCACACAGACATTGCTGTATGATATTCTACCTATAAAGTAACCCAGTAGACTAAAACCTATTACAGCTGGTTTTGCTCCCCATCGTGCGTGAGATAATATTCCAAATTTTGCTCCTGCAAATGCACCTACACCACCTAATATTGCTAATGGTATAGCTCTAGTAACAATTCCTTCTTTTAGACATTGAGACAAAACTCTCTGTTCTTCAGGTGTTAGTCGCACCTGCAATTTGAATTTTAATTAAACTCATGCTGATTCAGTTTTTGTTTACAATTAATAGTATATACTCTGTCATTAAATTGCATTTGGGAATTATGATTATTGGAGTCGGACGAAGGAAGACCTTCTGTAGAATTATAGTAATTCATTTTTTCTGAAAGCTTTTTTTTATTTATCAAACGAATTAAACTAAGCAAGGCACAGTAAGGTTATTACGGTTTATATTGCAATCTTTTTTGACTCGTGCTGACTGCACAGACGTGGTTTAAAAAATATACAAGAAAACGCACCGGTTAATTTTTCCCCACTCTACAGCTGTGCAAGTTTGCGTAGTCTGCTATACTATAGTAAAAACATTTTAGTGTTTTCTTTAGGGATTTTATTGCTGTACTAGTTATTTATAAGAATTTTTACAAATATGAATTCGTCAAAATAATCTAAATGTCATCGTTGAAATGTATTTATAAAATATAAAAAAAAAAGAAACGAAAAAGTTGTGTCTAGACTAGACAATAAAAATTTAACTATATTACTGATAAAACGTAAAAAAATAATAATTAGTAATTTTCATGAGTTAAAAACAAGAATATTAGAGGTATGAATTGAAAACTTGACACTCTTTTTTATATTTTTTCATATGCTCATTCATTTTTTTAAATACATATTTACTGCAAGTACATACTTGGCTGCAATAGATTTTTTGCTCGAGTTCTTTACCGAGCCAAAAACTTATTCTTAACCCAACCCAATATTTTTATATTATTTGTGAAAAACTAAAATTTTCAAGTAAGATTAATGTGTTATTTGTTTTGACTTTTGGTAGTTGATTTGTTTACTAATAGCGTGGCTTGTGTACACAGGCGCACCCCGTGTCATGTCGGATGTCTTCAGTACTTGCTGAGACTGCAACACTGTAGTAAATAGTAAATACACGCTTTTATATTTAACTGTGTCCGGCAAAACGATATTGCTATCTATAAGTGATTAATTGTGAATTGTTTCATCATATTTTCTGCAAAAGCACAATAAACAAACATGGCTTGGGTACCTCTAGAGTCTAATCCAGATGTAAGGAATAAACACATTTTTTCTTTATGTTTAGAGTTTTTGCAAAATCATTCATCTGCTATTTTTGATGTTTTAGGTTATGACCAAGGTGGGAGTCACTTTATTTTGACATGCTAAAGGTTTGAAATTTTAAATTTTATTTAATTACTTGTTATTTTTTTCACCACAGTTCATGCACACACTTGGTGTACCAAAAAAATGGGGTTTAGTTGATGTGTATGGATTAGATCCAGAATTGTTAGCATTAGTGCCCAAACCTGTTGCTGCTGTTATTTTGCTCTATCCAATATCTCCGAATGTAAGTATTTATTTTTTGGATTTTCTGAGTAAAATTATTAATTTTCATCAATTTTTTTAATTATATCAAATATTAGATACATTATTTTTCTTGAAGTTAATAATACTTCTTTTCATTTAGACGGAGCAATATAAAGCTGAACTAGAAAAAAAAGAAATTGAAAAGGGAACTAAAAATAATAATGTCTATCATTTAGACCAATATGTATCAAATGCTTGTGGAACAGTTGCAATCATTCACAGTATTGCAAACAAACTTGATGAGTAAGTATTTTATAAATTCAAGAGTATAACAAAATTTTATTTACATTATGCTTAATTCTTTTCTCATTTAAAGTCATTAAGAAAAACATGTAATTTTTTTTAAATTCAAATGGTATGTGCTCCATGTAAAATATACAGTTATTGTTTCCATCATTCTTTTTATTTGAATTTTTATATTAAAAATAAACTTTTAATTTATTCTTTTTCATGTTTATAATTGATATTGAATAGTATACTGGATGTGTTAAAATTGAATTCTTATTAAATTCTAGAATTAAACTTGAAAGCGGAGTTTTAAAAGAATTTTTAGATGAAACCAAAGACTTAGATTCTAAACAGCGGGGTGAAAAATTAGTTAAAGCTCAAAGTATTAGTAGTACACATGAGGAATTTTCTCAAGAAGGTCAAACAGAGGTAAATACATTTGTAAATCATAATAAAAGGCATTAATTTGGCGTTTATACTGTATACTTACATTTTTATAGCCTCCTTCTGAAGATGAGAAAGTAATTCATCACTTTTTAGCATTCATAGAAAAAGATGGCTCAATTTATGAATTAGGTAAGAAATTGCTAAAATGCTGAAAATTTTTATTTACTTAGATTATTTTCTGTAATACAGGTTTTTTCTTATGTTTTGATAAATAATATTAAATTTTCTATTTTTTCAGATGGCAGAAAACCATTTCCTATTAATCATGGTAAATCAAGCCCAGAAACATTTTTAGAAGATGCAGCACGAGTTTGCAAAGAATATATGGCACATGAACCTGGACAAGTTCTCTTTACTGTGATGGCTATTGCTGATATTGAAAATGCCAATTAATGTGTTAAAATTGTTGCATGAAATCTTTTTGTGAAAATGAAAGAGAATGAAATTCTGAAATTATACTGCCATATTTATTTTTTTAATAACAAGAGTGTATAAGAATTAATAAGTTGTGTGCATTAAATCTGAAGTTTTACACAACAAACAAAAAGTTGATGATTAGAAAATTTTTTTTGGTTATCGCTCATACAAAACATTATATTTATTGTCTCACTATTTGCTCATTTACAAAATTTCAATCATTTTTTTGAATATAATACATTTTTTATCATCTCTTTTTAATTATTGCTTTACTTTTATCTTAAAACTATCATAATCACTTTAAAATATACTGTACATTTTTACACAAAAGTTGTAAATTCATCTTTAGAAAGAGTATATTAAAATTCTTAATACATTTTATACATATCAACTATATAGTCATAAAAAGTTATATAGTCTAAGCAACTATAACTACATACATTCTAATAAGCTATCAATAATGATTATGATTTCTTCAGGTTTATTCGATTGAAGTTTAGTTCAGTTTTCTTAAAATGTTCATAATGAACGAATCAATGACGGATTTAAATATATTTTTACAGCTTCGTTACATGAGAGTCCCTCATGTATTCGATGATCTCTTAACGCTAGGGTATTTAGTATTGCAAAGAAAGAGCACGTTAATCAGGTCTGTGAAAATACTTGAGGCACATCGTAATATTTACACAATGTTTTGTTTTGAACAATGCCAACTTATACTTGTATCTAGTAGTACGTATGTAAATATTGAGATAAGTCCAACACTTTTGTGAAAATGATATTACTCGATACTCGATAATCACCCTGACTTTGTAAATGCTTTGACAATTTGCGTGACGCTCTCGTAGGTACCGGTAGCACAGCCGAGAATACCGATCAAAAGTATGCAGACGTCCTTCGTTACAACGGCTTTGTCGAGAGTCGCGTTCTGCCAGCAGATCACGATCTCGATGATCGGAGGAAATATCAGGGCTAGAGCTGTGCTGCTCACTGCGCCTACCAATGAGATGAACAGGCCCAAATGTGGAATGGCCTCGGCCAATATGACTGCAGGAAATAATAAGAATTGCTCGTGTTATTTTTATGCTCGGAGCTTTGGTCGATGAACGAAGTCCAAAATGTACTTACAAGTTATGAAGCACATGCTCGAACGGAACATGATCTCTCCAGCGACAGGCCAACGGCAAGGTCCAAAATAATTTTGAAATTCCGGCCACATAATGGCGATCGGCACGTAGAACTGTAGAGCGTAAGTCAGTAGAATACTCAATGATATGGCTAGTTTGATGCATTGAGGTAGGCTGAAAATGAGAGATTAATATGAGCTCACCATTAGGATAACGTTTACGAAAGAAGCTCACGTAGAATTTTAATGTATGGAAAAAGTTTAATAATGTATCTCGATTAACGACTTTTTGTAATTGAGATTATCACTCGACTGTTCATAAACTGTTTTTCAAGTAATTATAAAGTACAGAAAACTATTTTTTATAATTTACTTTGATTGTCTTAGAAAAATTAGGTGAAAACGTCATGCCAGTAGATAAAAAATTATTATGCATGCACTACGACTTCTGAAGTTAACGATTATGCATAAATCATTCATTTAACTGGACTAGATTTTTCACGCGTTACATTAAAAGTTATATAATCGGTAGCCCAGTTTAACGCTGTAAAACCTACTCGTAGTTTGAAAGGTCATAACAATTTTACTAGAATTTAAATAATTATGGGATTTAAAAAAACTTTACTTCATGTCATTTATTAAATTATGTTTATTATCAATGAGAATTAATAAATTTTAAATCTCATTGATATATACCTATTTGATATTTATTGTTACTCAAAGATAACTCTGGTCAAAAAAAATTGAAAAAATTTAAAAAGTCAATACAAAATCATCTATGTAAAAATTTCCGATTCACTCCATATTCAAGTTCACGACTTACAATATTGTTTAATCACAATTCCGAAAAGATACCTAGACAAAACAACTCAGGACTTTTGGAAGAATAGATTTTAAAGCACAGTATAAATACGTTTCTCGTTATGTTAAACTGTATGGTTATTTAAAAGAAAGATTTATTCATGCCACTACAAAACGGAGTTATTGTTAATAAATAAATCGTTCTAATCTAATAAATTTAGATAGTTGCAAGCATTTATTTAGTTTCAAGCTTAAAAACATGCAAGATCAACTTGAACTGTTTCATTTGAAAAATATTAACCTTGTGGTAAAACTAAATTCTTCCTGCATCAACCTTAAATTAAAAATATGCTCGTGAAGTTTCAACGTAATGAATTTAAAATTTAAGAAATTATATTCTTGTTTTAAATCGCAGGATTAATATAATGAAGTAAAGACTTACGTATCTGCTTTTGGTTCCAAGTTAAGAGTGACCGAGCCTTCTATTTTATCTCCGTATTTGAGATAAGACAAAAAACCAAGGGCAACGAACATTGCTCCAACAATGACCATACCAACGTTTAATACTCCCAATGGTTTGTCGAAATTTTTAGGTTTCTTCATTTCTTTTTTTAGAGGTAAAACCTGAAATCAAATTTGGACCGTATTAAGTATACATTATATCAATGTTACTTCTACTTTAGCAACCCCAAAAATGTTTGATTGATCAATGTCCGCATACTTTCGAGTAATTGGGTCAAGACTGTTTATGAACGTTCGCGCATCAATACATCAAAAAGCTCCCTTTTATTGACATAATAAAAAAGTCAAATTCCCGTCTTACCAAAGTGATGCCCTCGAAAGAGTAAATGACCGTGCCGAAAAACAGGGGTATCATGTCCCAGTTGGCGACGTACCGCCTCTCGGATATAGGTGGCAAATCGTGGCACATGATGTAGATCGTCGCTATGTAGCCTGTGATAATAAGAAGATTGGCCAGCGAGGACAGTGGCACTAGGAACTTGAGGTTGCGAATCCAGGTACTCAGCATTATCGGTATCAGCACCACGGCCATATGGTAGTGCAGGTCTAATTTGATGCCCCAAACGTCCAGAACCTTTGATTGGGCGAAAATGTCAAAATTTGAAATTTTATGAGACTCTTTGACTATGAAAAGAGGATAATTTTTTTGAAGAAACGAAGGAAAAATTAACAAAGAGAAAGTTAAGAAATGGAAAGCTCGAGAATGCATGGCTTTCAACTATGCCTAGGCGAATTAATAATAAACCGAGAACATCGGTGTGCATCTAAAAATAAATCTCACCTGTTTCATATTCGTCGAAATAAAGACAAAATAGACGCAGCAAAATCCAAGTTGCGTAATACATAGAAATAGATTAACTAATTTTCTGCAAATATAGAAAATAATCATCGTATTATGGCACGTAGGCTTCAGGGGGCGTTTAATGATGGATGTCGAGAAAAATTATGCTTTCGATGCGAGTTTTTAGAAATTTTATCAAATTAGATGTGACTTGACCTCTGATTTAAGGTTTTTAAACGCTTATATAGACTGCGATGTAGGCTTCTTCATTTCTCTTGTGCATTGCCGTTAAGTGTTAAGTTTGTTGATTTATTTATTATCATACACATATACACCATACAGTACATGATTATATTCGTTTGAAATTATTTTTCGTCGATTATCACAAGTGATTTTTAATAAATTATTCATTTTTTTATTACAATTAAACTCGACGTGAGAAAAACAATAAGAGAAACAATGAAGCGTAGACTATATGTAATATGTAACACTTAAACATCGACGCTGCCGAATTGAGCTTTTTGTTTCCATAATACTTTTTGCATTTATTTTTGCAGGTTTTTTTTATCAACTGGAATTATAAAACAAACAATACAGTTATTATTTGTATGTGTATACCTAATAAAATAACTAGATACATAGAGATAAATAGATTGCCTTGTTAAATCATTAGTGCGTATTCGAACAGTCGAAAACAGATTTTCACCAAAAAGAAATAACGATTGAAAAAATAATTACTACTTAAAAACAAAGAAAAAAATAATCAAGAATTGAAGGATGTACCCGAGTATTTAAGAAACTGTTTCTTTGGAAAGCATTGCTTGTTGAAACAGATATTTTTAGGTGTACTCATTCGTTGAGAGCTAAATTTATAAGATTTTAAAAACGATTTACATTAGTTAAAACGTTACCTTTTTTTGTAGTAACGAAAGTTCTAAACATTTAATGAAACCGTCATTTACAATGAAAGAAGTAGAAAAATAACTTAACAGTATTAGGTATTACGATTTCGGAGTTGAGGAGACCAGGTAATTGATTTTAAGGAAAGAAAAAAGTGATTCTTTCTATGTCATATAAAAAATAGCTTACCCTAATTGTCTCATAGACACCGAACGTATCATCTTTAATCAAAGCTTAATCTTGAAAACCGGTGACTCTGCTATTTTTCTTAATCGCTTATCTTATGACCCTTTTTACCTGTGACACTGTGACTCTTAAAAGAGTCGGGGCCTGTAAACAAAACCCAGAAAAAAACGTTCCGTCTAGCTTTTTTCATTAAGTACCTATCATTAACATCGTACATTACATCTCAGTCCAGTATCAACCTCATACATATTCAAATAGTCAACTTATCAAAGTCAAGGGTCGTTTCAATTTTTACGGTCAATATTTTTAAACAGTTTACGCGAAGGGTAATACTCCACGACGTGTCTTGTTATATGAACAGGTGTTCATAAGTAAAGCGTTTATATCAATTTGGCAGCGTCTCTTTATTTTCCATCGTGATAAAAAAATATTGAGAAAACGAACGAATTTATTTGTTATTTTAATGATTGTCAGTGCAAAGAAAAATCGGCTCATCATAATGCCAGTTTCTCTTCGCATTTAATCCTACGTGAATCGTTTTAAACTGAAATAAAACCAATTTATGATGATGATTTTGAGTATATGTCATATTAAATGCATCTGCACGCACATATAACGGGATACGTTCGTCAACTATACTTTGAAGATCGCTTGAAAAAAAATTTGAGCTGTATTTTACCTCATGAAAACTGCATATTTTCGGAGTGCCAATGGCCCAGTGGCAAAACATAACTCCACCGTAGTAGCATATCCAGGTTGCGAAGCTAAGGAATCGCCTAGCCTTCGCTGCACCTCATCGTTGCAATTGAGCTGACGATAAAAAAATTATTAAATTTTTTCTATCTTGCATTGAATTTATAACTCATTAAATTTTATCTTTTGCTAATAAAAAAACCGACAACATTGAGAAAAATCGTTGGAACTACAATTGCTTGGAATCTAGAAAAATTAACCGTAAATTATACATAATACTCGAGACCTTGATGAAAATTGGAGCGCACAGGCCGCAAAAAACAATGATCTTACAAGATAAGTAACGACTTAATTGAGCGTACAGCTCGACGCGCTAATATAAGCATTCGCGACGATTATCATAACGAGATCACAAGATTGTGGCGCAAGTGTTATAAATCTGCATAAATACAAACCAGAATGTGTTGAGCATGAATGCAGATTACTCCTAGAATAATGGTCAACGGTGGTCCGAGCATAAGACCGGCATTTTTGAATGCGTCGCCTAGAGCAAACATGCCAGATCCGACGTTGCCCTTGAAATGGTGCATGAGTGTTTCGATGTATCTGTCGAGGCAAATCAGATCAGATCATTGGCCTCGTGACATAATCTACGACATTTTTTAGGCTTTGAGAAGGTGTCTTACCCAGTTGTGTGTCCGGATCCAATGCCGTGGCCGTCGTCCCCGCCTCCGCGAGCTTCGACATCATCTTGTAGAATCGGATCTTTTGATTGGAAAGCTCCGTAAGTGCTGCTGAATAAAAGAAAACAATTCGAATCGTAAATAAATTTGACTTATTTAACTCAAAAACTTCCATTAATGAACTTGATCAGTATACAATACATTTATACTTCATTCTTACACAATTTCTTTTTCCTTTGCGTTCGAGTAACTTGAGCTCTTACTATTGTTCACCTTAATAGATGTTGCCTCTTTCGCACTCTTTGTATGCAACTCCATCTGTAAGTAAGAAAGATAAATTGCGTTAAAGCGTCACCACTAATCATTTTGAAGACAAGTGCAGTCATTTATTTGTTACTGCCGATGATTGAATTATATTATATTAGTCAGCTTTTTATCAAAATTAGGAGAAGTATAGTAAAATTATTGCTAAACGATTGAAAAATAATCATTAGTCAATACGATAAAACATGTAAGTATATGTTTTAGTGATTGCAGATTTTTTAAATTTATGCGTACAAAAGGGTGCTGGAATATTTGAACATATTGAGTGGTTGGCAACTCAATTAATATTTCCTCTTCGTTTTAGCAGAAAAATAGTCAAGTTACTGAGTAAAAATGATTTTTAATTGTAAATCATGATTGAAATTCCGTGGCTAGATTTACTCAGCTGCTGGACATACAATTTCTCATCTTCGATGAATCAAGGTTTTTAATTAAATACAGATGACTATGATATAATTAGAGACGATGTTGTTTGTTCTATTTCGAATAATTATTCATAAAATTTTTTGTCCAAAAATCGATCTATTTAGTAACTAAATGTTGTTTGTCGGAAAATTCTCGTTCAAAAATAATTAAGTTAAAAGTAATTAAAAAACTCAAAAAATGAGCAAACAACATAAATACACCGATGACTTGGTCACTAAAACGGATAGTTAAAAACTGATTGACATAAAACGAATATTGCTCTTTATTTGGTGAGAGCTTATAGTCACCATAGAGATGGTCTCTATGATAGCCACGTTCGAAAGACGCACCGACTCCATCGTATCGACCAATAATCTTCGTGTTCCTGATCGTTGCTTGATATGTGTCTAGTTGAGGATTGCTTTCTTTGGTTGATTTTATTTAAATTTTCCTTGGAACTTTATTGTTAAGGGTGGTCGGTCCAATCTTTGCCAAAGACATTTGTATACCTGAATGTTAGATTAAGATAGTAGTATCTTCCGAGCTAAGTTAATTTCAGTTATATATATTTTTTATTGATTGTATGGGTTATTTTTGCAAGTTATCACATTTGTTTTGGTACATATTTAAAATATAAAATACTTTGAACTTTTGATATATTATTTACAAGACTTTTTATAAATGCGCATATATGTCTTTAAAGAATCTGATAATCAACAGATGTAATCTTTATTGATTTTTGAAAAATATGCGAATGTAACGGCATAATAACAAATAAAGAGAAAAAATTAATGATTCGTAAAAATCAAAGGAAACTTTTGAATGGTTTGAATGCTTATAAATAAAGCTTTAGCTATGCAACTTCTATACCTTTTAACGTATTTCTATGTAACTTCTATGATATATTTGGAAATCCTGTCCGAAAAGCAACTTATCATATTTGCCTTGAAACGTTTAACTGTATTATAACGTTGCAACGAGCTAATTAGATAATTCGCTGTGACGCACACAGTGACAAACGCCAGCTTGTTACTCTATTATTATCGGCGTTCAGATTTATCTCACGAACCCTACAATGCTCATTTTGCATGTATTTTTACATTTTCATTCATACATCGATAAAGATCTTGAATTTTTGCATCGAATCGTGGACAGAAGAGTAAATAAAAAGTTCGAGATAATTGTTTTGTCACTACGTAGGGCTTTTAATGGGCACTCAAGTGTCTGCACCTACGCTCATATGAATATTATTCTGGTCGTTTAATTGAAGAATGGCCCGAGCCGGCGCACGTGCCCTCGCGTATAATAGAGTCCTCAACTCACTGCTTCGAACCATTTCCTTATCTACGTGGTGCTTGTAAGCTGCGCGAAGCAGATCAGCCTGTCGAAATTGGGCCCGAGCTTTCTTTAAGCGCTCGAGTTAACAAACAGAACTGGACCAGTCGCGCAGTGGGTCACCAGTGCAACTCCTTAATAAAAATGAGATTCATTTTAGTTGTCGTGTGTTCTCAATGGGTAAAAGGCCGCTCTGCTATTATCAGAAAATTTATTCGTTGACACCGGCCAACTAAACACTGCGTCCGTACATAGCAAAGTCGATTTTCAGTTGCGCGCCTCCCTATGTTCGTAAATTTAAATAATGCTTATCTTTGCACGGATTCCTCGACGTTTATTTAAGCTTTTGGTTTCTCAGATGGCAACGTGCGTTGTTATACCATGACCTGGTAAAAGTTTGTGGCCCACACGTGCTATTTGCGTCGTGGACTGATGCTGCTAGTTCGCTTCTGGTTGTACACTTTCGACACCTATTCTACTATTACCCTATTCGCCCGCCAACAGCAGCACCCATTGCTGATTTTTCGAGTTCGTCGAACCAGATTATAGTCGAGCCACGGAAGGATTTTGTTCCATTTCCTTCTCTGTCATGGCTAGGTAATTATGCAGTCAACTTTGCCGCTAAACAACTGTATACTGACTATGGCATGCATTGCGATATCTCGATGCGTGATCGGAAAGTTTCGAGCTTGAAAAACTATATTGGAAATCGGCAGCTCTCCAAGTAACGACTAAGCAGCGCATTTATCTATACGATCGACGAGAGCTTTGTGAGATTTGCTTGTATTTGCGGATCGAGCACGCGGTGTTCAGCTTGAATCAACGTGCCTTTATCGAGTGCCGAATATTGATTGGCATTAGGGTATACTTTTTTCTTTGGTTCGTAGCCAAACGCGACACAATTTATCTGTGACAATTTACACGCCCCTCTTTTTTGGCCCAAAACGAATTTTCTTAACAAATTCAGGTGATAAACAAGCTTTAAAAAAAAAATAATATTCATCGCGTAGTTTCACTGGACACGTTATGACTGATAAACTACAAATGTTCGTCAATCGTTTTAATGGGCAGTTGTGTTTTTTTTGGCTGCATCAAGCTTCACCCGCTTATGAAGAAATGAATTTTTAGACGAACTGCTTCATTTGGATTATTAGTTGATAAAACAAATTAATGAGCAGTTACATATCGTTTGTCAGTTAGCAACAAGCCGGTGAAGTTCAAGGACGAATTACCTCGCACGCTCGCATGTCGTGTGTATACGCAATAATAGAGTCGAGCAAATTGTTACCTGTGCCGAGTTGGACAGATATTTGACAGCGTTGCACAATCATAACTATGGGCTCGTTAAAATATCAATTTTCTTTATTCGCGATTCCATGTGTACATGCATCAATTGACAATTAACGATTACGTTGGCGGAGAATTTGCCCACAAGTCAAAAAACGCGTTGTATCGAGCTCGCGCAGTCTGCTCGATTCGAGAAGGAAAGCTCGTGAAAATATCCGTAAAAGCTCGCAATCAGTGACGCCGTTCATCTATCGAATAGCAATCGGTCAGTCTCTCGTATAACATTCTCCGCAAGCTCTAATAACAACGTCATGCAGCATACATATATTTTGTGTCTATAGCGCTTTGGCAATATCCGACGAGCATATACCTCGGCGAGAGTCAGCGAGGGCCAAAATAGAATTTTCTGGTATACTTTTATCGCACACAGCTAAACAGATCAGCACGCGAGAACGTCGCCGTCGTCGTCGTCATAGTCGTTGTTTCGCCAAAGCCTAGCGGACGCGTGCGGCATTTACGTTGCCGCATCTTCTTTTTTATTATTTTCAAACGCCGATGACGAATGTGTGCGACGCCAGCTGACACACGATCGCTGCTTCGGGAATTATCAACTATGACGTGCGTTACGGTAACCTGCATTATATGTATACAGACGCGCAAGAAGACAAAGTAATACGAGCGCGAGATCTTTTTTTAAGATTTACAGCAGATAGAGCAACGTTACAATGTCTCTCGACTTTTATTTTAGATTTTTCAGAAATACCGTACTTGATCTCGGAAATTGGATGAGACGCGCGTACGGTGTGCTCGTTATCTAACCATATTATCCGCGTTATTGTTAACTATTCGCTCCGATACTGCAGCTCGACATTGCGCAATTTATGCTCTTTAATTACGCTACGTGAGAAAATCAGCGGCTCGACGACTCGAGATAAACGTCAACCGCAGGTGTATGTAAACAAGCATCGACGCACTGGAACGCGCTAGCAATTGCCGCCGATTGCACTATGCGCGGATTGCGTTGTTTTGCTATTACAGCTCGCGCAGGCGTCCGCGTGTTCGTGTGCGTTTACGCGCGATATATAGGCGAGGAGGCGCACGCGAGCGATCGCTGCAACTTTTCCGTTTAGCAGCTCGCGTCGTCGATAACTCGTCGTCGTCGTCACCGTCGTCGTTGTATCGACTATCTTCGGCAGATAATTTCCGTGACTTTTGTTTACTCGGCTCTGCATTCCATTAGAAATCGCGTGCCACGCTTACACAAGTATTAGATCCTTGTCTCGTCCGCTTACAATGTCTGGGTGTACGTACATAAAATAAAAAATATATTATATGTGAAAAATAAATCGATAAATTATGTACACGCTTGATCGCGCATCGGCCAAACACCGCGGTAATTGCAAAACAATACATTGTCACGTATTATCGCAGTGAAAAGGGTCACTGACGCGTTTTCCATGCAATTATAACGATGATCGCACGTCCACCTTGTACTTGTTTCGCGTGCGTTTATACGCACGCACATAATACTGGAGAATCGCAGTATAAGTAAGCGAAAATAAAGGTAAATCGCCGAGCAACGCTGATTATTCTACTCGCGTTCCGATCGATATCGATCGACCGAGCAATTCTTCATTGTAGCCTCCAATTATTTGCAATGCACTGATCAATGGATCTCGAGACTCTTTTTCTACTTTTTCTTTCAATCGATGAATGTGATGATTCGATAAAAGTGCGGTGTATCTCGATAAATGTATCGCCGTTCTATTGGCCATGATTGACGAAAACCCATCGCGTGCTTACAAACTGCAGTTATCATGTAGCCACTTGAAAATAGTCAATGGGTCTTTGATTGAGTAAAAATTGTTTGCTTGGCGCTCGAGAGAGCGTCTCGTCTTACGCATAATACACGCATTAAACGTATCGCTCGATTCACTCGCAGATTCCACTTTACGGTATTTTCCGCGCAATCCCCGATACAAGCACGAGAATTATCATTCCTTTCGGTCTGCGAAGACGGGGTCATTGAATCGTTTATATGTATACGCTGTCGCATTTTTATTTGCTAATTCTCGTGTATAGTGCGCAATCTTTTTCAATTTGTTCAAAATCGCATCTCGTTGATGAATTCATTTACCGATTGCACTTAATCAAGAAGCTGCGCATTGACGTTTGATCGATGCCTCTTTGCTAATTGTGGCATAACTTATTGCAAATAAATTCAATTTTTTCGTAAGAATTAAATGCAATTCTGTTAACGTTAATTATTTTTCACGATCTAATAAAAATTAAGAACTATCGTATTAGAGGCACATAAATGAACATTTGCTTGATTGATATCTTACGCTTTGAAAGTTCAGGTTCAGTATCACTAAAATTACACTATATTTAAAAAGTGGACGTGAGTTAGTTGTAGCATGCAACTTCCGCGTTCGACCATCGATAATCAGATGTAAAAAAGAATAATTAAAGCCGTACGAAGTGTACGAAAAAAATTAACAGGTCGGAAGCTCGCAAGAGAGATAAATATTATTCCTCCGTTGTTTTATCATTAAAGGCCAGCGTCTGCGAGGTATTTCGTCGCGCGAGATTAGCCTTCAACCGATAAGGCTGTAAGATCTTAGGTATTTACCGCATGTATAAAATATGTTTGTGATTAACTCATCCACATAAGAATCTATTTTTTAAAATGATTATAATAATAAGTGTATTTTACTGACCCACCGCGAAGCGGTGATCTAATCAAGCATAATAAATAAATCAAATGCTGAACAGGGCCAAGAAAGATTCATTTTTCTCCAAGTAGACGACGACGAGTTGATGCAACTGCGCTGTCGTTCGATAAAAGGACAATTTACATCTTGACGAATGTCACAGATAGTTTTTATTTTACGATAAATCGAATCATCTCGTTGTCAGCAATAGAATACCGTGAATATGCTCCTTTGTTTAGCGATTACGTACTTGACAAATGCATCTGCGAGCTAACAGTCAAAGTACAAATACAATTTTCATGGCAGATTTTTTTTTCATTAACATTAATTCAAGAAGTATGCATATCGTTCAACAAGTCTCAACTCTCAGTCACCAAATTGCTCTACTTTTAAAATGATGATGTTTGTTTGTTTTTAACATATGAACAAAATTTGCTTCCTGATAACAATCAGACAGAGCGAATTCCACTCGTTTCGTAATTTTTATCATCGTACGCGAGCAGCTTGACATTTTTAAAGATACCTAGCTTCAAAACAATCAAAAGCCGAAGCTGTGCGATTCACATCGCCGCAAGATAATGTGCAATTGTCAAATTTATTGGCCGACTGCCTGCCTGCGTTGCCCGCGCTCGTACAAACGCGCAGGTCCTTCTCTATTAATTACACTTCCGGTATCGACGCTCGCATTATGTATATACCGATCGTCGCCCGTTACGACTGCTCGAGTAGCGATTCCCTTTTTTTTTCGCGTTCGCACGCGATGACACAATTCGATCATTCGCACGGCACGCTCTGCCTCGTGTATTGTTATAATAGTCGCTTTTGCACTGGCCGATTGGCGAAGGTCGTCGTCCGAATTTCACCGCTGCGGCGAGGCATACTCAACGATGCGCTCGAGCGACTCTTGCGCTCGAGAAATCGTTAACGACGCACCGGACGGTCAGACAGAAAAAAATCGCTACAAGTGTCTCGTGTTTTATAATTACGTCCTGTACGTCGTACAACCACGGTACAACGGATACTCGACTCGTGTATTTTTTACGATGATTGATTCGATTTTGGCAAAGTAAGCTATTTTATCTTCGTCTTGAATTTGCCGCAGTTTATGCTATTTTTACGCGTACTAATCCAATGTCCATCATATTATATTGCACATGATTTAGTAATCTGGCATTGGATTACAAGTATTAGTTTGCAAAAAATCGACGTCAATTAATCGCGTTGGCTATTGTGTCTACAGTTTTTTATTCACTCCCGAATGGGAGTAAATTTTGTCAGCACTTTATATACCGACTTTATATAGCGATATCATTGTATCTTTATTTGAAGGATGTCATCTGTGTAACTGTAAAGTAAACTGCTTCTACGTATCGCAATGATTATTGTTATCACCGATAGATATTGAAATTTTGCATCAATTTAGCAGGTTGATAGCTTTGGCCTCGTGAAAGTATTGCGGAAAAACGAACTAGCGTATTTTCATGCATAAAAGCTAGTTTAGCAAAAAGAAAAAAAAATGTTGACAAATGCGCAACACTCACCTTGTAAACACACAAAGTCTAGCCAATCGGTCAATTAATGGAGCAGGTATTTTCGACGGGTGAATCGATCTTTCATCCGGTGAGCAGAAAATGAGCTTATGATGATTACGCTCGAGAGAAGTGGTCACCTGCCCATTGATTCTTGCCAAATGGTAATGTCGGAGATGTGCGTTTTTTTCTTGCCCGCCGATAGGCACTTGGCGCCCGTCTTAAAAGTCGCCGTTGCGGCTGCTATTGCTCAGCTGCTCCGATATATATACTCTTCCTCAAACACACGTGCTGCTGCTACTGCTCTATTGCATAGGTAGGTATGTATATTTTCGAGCGAGCTACCGTATATTAATACGCGCGTGTTTTTATAAAAGACAACACGACTTGCGCGGCGGTTCAGAAGCGACTGACTCGAACTGCGACTTTTCACGCGCGCTTTGCCCACCGCAGCTCTCGCCAGCTCCGTATATATACCTAATGTAGCATGCGAATCTTGGACCGTATATCGTATACCCGAGACGACGCGATGCACCCTACGCACGTGCGATGCTGTTTAGAGTGTGCGTTAATGCGCTCTCGCTCTATGCGTTTGTGTGCGAGTGCGCGCGTCTCTGCTTACGAATAAGCTCGTTTATTTTTTCCTTTAAAGCTCGCCTCTTTTTCTCAATGAATGCGCGTACATCGCAAGACGCCCGGAGTACATGTGTAAGTATGCCGATATATAAATATATATGTGGGGGGAGCTCGGACGTATCTTTCACTGGGAGATGCTCCCGGGCACATATCGAGATATATTATTGAGCGTGCACGCATGATCCATGGGAAAGAGTAGGGACTAAGCGAGCCGGCCTTTCTTTTTGCTCTCTATGGATTTTACATTGTCACGCAATAAAAGCCGATCGTGAGCTGCTGTATAACATACTTGTCACAGTCGCGAAAAGGGGGAGATGCGCTCGGACTTGTCTTTGGAATATTTTGGGATTTTTCCACCGGCACGTAGCAAGTGCAAAATACACTCGAGCACGCATATAGGCTCATCTCACCAAGTATAATACTGCTCGAGCTCGGGTAATTAGGGGTTCGCCGGTTCGCGCGGATGCGTCTTCGCGTTGTTGCTTCACCGACGTCGTTGTGCAGGCGATTTTGCAACGACGTCGATTACTGATTACTTGGGTGCTGGTATTTTTAAATTGCCTCCGCTCGATTCACTTGGGAACGAGCTAATTATAAAAAAATCATTGCGAGACGATTAAAGATCCTACCTGGCGCTGGAGCGTCTACCTGTCGTTGAATTATCATAGTATTGATAAATCGAATAGCCTTCGCTTGATCAAAGACATTGGTCATTAGACCCAGTTGTCCGAGCAATAAATACAAGCCTGTATTTATAATTTTCACATAGTCACTTATTTCGCTGCAGTTTGATTTCGTCCCACTGCATTCATATTACATCTAACTTTAAGCCAGTTCTTTTCTATTTTCATGAACCACGCCATCGGAAAGATGATTCATTCGCACCAAGAATTATGTACTTTTATTCCGTACGTTTATGAAATGTCTCTTCATCATATTTTATTTATATGTGTATTCGAGTGAGTATCAGTGTCGTATCAAATTGACGGCAGCATCTTCTTCATACCGATTAGGTTTTTCTGCTTTTAAATAAAAAAATATTGAATAATGGGGTTTCAGATAATTTTTATGATTATTTACGCAAATATAGTTACTTCCAGTGAGCAGTATCTGTACTAAAACAACTGAAAGGAAAAATAATTTCATGTACATATCGATCAATTTAAACTTTGATCGGGTGAAATTATTACATGAATTCTCTTTGTCTTAAATATAAAAAGCGCGCAAATTTTTCACGAGCAAAAGAAACGAGACACAATGAATGCATTACGACGGCTTTAATCGGCCTCTCGCCACACGTGATACGTTAACACGGCGGGTCGTGCGCGCGTGCGCGAGTAGAGCGCAGCCGTTTAAAGAGAAAATAAAAATAGTTTGTATCTTTCCAAGCGCCGGTTCGTATTCGATCTATAATATCAATAGGCTTGATGTGAAAGCCGACAAGGACTTATGTCGCGTGTGCGATTATGATGCATGCATGTCTGCTCGCATCCCAGACGCGGATAATGAATGAAATGAGAATGCTCGATTAATGCATGCAATAAATTTGTCCGTACACATAAGAATATGCAAGTAAGCTTTATTATTGCAGCTGTTAATCTCCTGCTCGACGATTTAGATTATTATTTTTATTGTCGGAAAATGCGATGTCTTTTGTGCAATTGGTCTTTTTATAGTCCCAACGCTATATGCTTCATGTTTATTCGATTTACCAAAGCAAACTGTAATAATTTTGTCTTTATGTATTGAGGAAAAAATTAACGGTATGTCAATACCGAAAGTACTCGCTATTCGGTAAGATCCTCAAGGAATTCACGCTGGTTCGAAGAATTAGCGAGATAAAGACAAAAGAGTTTATTTCAGCTCGATAACTGATGGCTGCTAACTATGGCGACAATTTTATTAAAAATTATCATTCGTATGTATAATCTAGTATTACATAGGATGGATGTAAGTTTTGTGGCTATCTTTTTTTCGCACTACTTACAAGAAGAGCCTATCAATTTTGATCACAGATCTTCACCAAATTTTTTGGGGATCTTATCTAGTACATAATAATGAATCAGTTTGATCTCATAGGTCCCTGGAAAAAATTATTGAGCACATTGAAGATTTAAATATTATACAATATTAAAACATATCATGTATTAGCATAACATGGTATCAGGCTCACACATTAAAGTCCAACTGCCAGGAAAATATTTGTATTTTAACTTTTTCATGTCCTAAATATTTTTTTAACAAATATACAATTCAGCTCAGATAGTTTACTGTGAAATTTTCAGAGAGTGAACCAATTGAGATGCAATTAACGAATCGATTGATAAATATTTTTGTAAATGATGGGCATTTTTTCAAAATATCCCGATTAAAAATAATTATTTTAAACATTATGATTAATGACTTTCAGCATCGTTGATAAGTTAATTTGACACTAAAAACAGGAATACGCCTGAATTTTTTCAGAATTTTTGCAAGTGATTTTGGGAAACCAGATTTTCCAAATTTCTTTTTCTTGATATTTTTAACTTTTTTGGAAAAATCGTCTCATAAGATTCGGAAAAAATTTGATGCTGTTTCTCAAACAGTTCTAAGACTTTTTTGTTCTATATACTTTTTCTCTAAACATAATAGATAGTTTATGAAATAAAGAATAATGAAATATAAAAGTCAATTTATTCATTCATGTCGCCATTTTGTTAAGAAAAAAATATTGTTTGACAAAATTAACCATGGTTTCTCAAAATAAAAACCACGAGGACACGTTCTGCACATATTTTATTCCCGTATAACAATGATATGTTGTTTAAAAATGGAAATGAAACAAAATTTAGCCTCAAAAACAAGCTTTTTTTGTGTAAATTTACAATTTTTTATTATAAATTTTTAATTTACGCAATTTCAAACATCAACATTGGAAATAACACCTTCAAAACTATAAAGAATTGTGGTTTTCTTAAGGGCTAACAGGGGGCTTAATTATTTTTTATTTTTCAATAACAGGACTAGCCAATTGGCCATCGAACAAAATGAAATCAACTGGGGTACCATCGATTAATGCTTGCTCTTAAATTTCTACGACAGGTAGCTTAGATATGCGTACAGCTTGCGTTGAGGACCAATACCCTCATTATTTATGTACTCAATTGTTTCTAAGTATCTAACTGGACAAAATACTTTCAAATAGGGTTTTGAAAAGGGTTATCATGTGTTTTCTTGAAAAAAAATTTTTTTTCACGTTTAGAGCCTAGTACTGTTATTGAAAAATGAAAAATAATTAAGCCCCCTGTTAGCCCTTAATCGGTCGAAAATATCATTTTTAAGGAGTTTATCGTTTTTCTAAAGAAAGGGCTGATTAATGCTCAAATGAGAATTAAGCTACATGTAGAGCTTGGCAAACCCTTCAAACGGAGCCCCACCTGATTTTAATTCGTACATTCGTTCCTTAGAAAAACGCTAAAAACTACCGAATTATCGCTTTTTTCAATTGTTTATATCTTTTGAATAAATTAGCGAAATCTTTTGAAAATGCCTGAGCGGCATGCTCTTGGTGTACCTACTATGTGGTAAAAAATTCAAAATTATTCATGCAATACTTTACCTTAAACTCGAATTTGTTGCTCCCATCATGTTTATTGTTTGAGGTCATTCTACACTTACAAAAAAATGAAAACACTTTTTATAAGAGTCTAATTTAAAAGCAAGACTTACACTTTCAAACATATTGACTGGAATAGTAAATATTAACCTGATATCTATTGTAAAATTGAGCTAAAAAAAATTTTCGAAAATCAGTGAAAAATACTTTCATTTTCAACGAGGCATTTTACCGTACACGAGTGTTCAAAATGAGGAATTTTACCGCACACCAGTGTCCAAAAACACTTTTTTCGCACAATGAAATGGGCAAAAAAGACATTTTATGCAATAGTATGACGAAAATAGTATATTTTGTAACAAGTGCGCGAAGCAGTTGACTCATCCAAGAGTTATTTTCACCCGAGCGTAGCGAGGGTGCAAAGACTCCTGGGTGAGTCAACTTCCTCGCGGACTAGTTGCAAACGATATTTTTTAACTCGGCTTGCGAGAAACTAGGGTTTTCTGACGATTTAAGGTTAAAAAACCCGTGTTTCGCGCACGCAGTGTTAAAATAGTTATTTATGTAACAAGTGCCCAAAAGGCGTTTTTGGGCACGAGTGTGCGGAAAAAGCTGGGCACGTGTTGCATACAAAATTTTATGCAATAGTAGACGAAAAATGCGTTCATTTAAATGAGGCGTTTTACCGCACACCCGTGTCCAAAATGGGGCATTTTACCGCACACAAGTGTCCAAAAACGCTTTTTGCGCACTAAAAAATGTGCGAAAAAAGACATTTTTCGTCATACTATTGCATAAAATTTTGTATGCAACACGTGCCCAGCTTTTTGCGCACAGTGTGCGCAAAAAACACCCACTCGTGCCGGCATAGCCGGCACTCGTGTCTTTTTCCGCACACTCGTGCCCGAAAACGCCTTTTGGGCACTTGTTACATAAATAACTATTTCGTCATACTATTGCATAAAAGACAGTTTTTTAATTCTTATAAACAAATTGAACATCTTCGCTCCATTAACCAATGTAGATTTTATTTTTCTTTCATCATTAAGGTGTCAGTTTTACGCATATTTACAAAAAATGTTCTAGTCTCTATAAGAATTACAAGCAAATTTAGATTTTTTTTTCTTCAATTCACAACGCCTTTGTTCATAATAATTAAGAGATCAAATTCAACGCTTGTATCGTATGTAAGTAAAAGTTTGTTGGAACCCCAATT